TAAACTTTCTGGAGGCGAAAAACGAAAACTATGCTTAGCGATGGCTTTTATTGGCGGAAGTGAGTTAGTTCTACTAGACGAGCCAACGGCCGGTATGGATCCTCATTCTAGATTTATTGTTAAAAAATTCGTAGAGCGGAAGAAAAAGACAAGGCAAGGAAGTCGTAATGTTGAAACTTCCATATGCAATTCTTCATTTTTTTAGAGCAATTATCCTTACCACGCACTACCTAGACGAAGCTGAAGTGATGGGAGACTGGATGTATATAATGTACATGGGACGCTCTATATGTAGTGGATCTCCTTATTTTCTGAAATCAAAGTAACCTTAAAGACTGCATTTCATTTTTTCACAAGTTTGCGCAAAGGAATTAAACTTCTGATTTCAGGTTCGCTCCAGGAATTATACTTAGTGTAGTCTTCGCACAAAATGCTTCGAAAAAGTCTGTAGAGTCAACAAAGAAGGTTAGCCAGGAAAAGAATAATGTAATACTTGTATGCTCCATCTCACGCACTACTGGCTCCTCTATGTCTCTAGTCAGTAAGACAAACCTAACTGGCATATGCCTGTGAATTACACCTTAATACCTTCTTCACTTTCATCCTGAGCAAGTCCTTTTGAGAGACAAACAAAATCAAACGTTTGATTCCCAAAAATAATATATAACAACGTCTTAACCTATACTTGGCCTTTTAGCCATTTCCCTCTTACCGTTTTTCAGATCATTGCTGAGCAGATAGAAGGTGTAAAAACGGGAGTGATGACTGGAGCGCAACTTCATTTCGAAATTCCTAAAGCTAAGCAAGAGAGGTTCTAATTTTTGCACTCAAAAGCTACAAGGGATAATTGAAGCTGTTAAGAATTCCAAAATTGTTTGCAAGTCTTGAAAGTGAACAACAAAAGTTGCAAATTGATAGTTTTGGTTTGTCACTCAACGCTTTGGAGGAGGCTTTCTTGAAGTATGACAGACAACAATATGCATCACTTCTGGCAAATCGTATCGCTGTGAAACCAACTCTGATTTTTTTAGAATCGCTGATATTACAGAGACTAAGAGGGAGAAAAAACCCACAACTTTCATACAAAATCCACGTTATGCGGAACTGCATGAAGGTTGACATTTTCTTTTCTGCAAAATTTGAATTTGTTCCTTATATTGCAGATATTGTTGCGAGGCTGT